ACTGTGTTTTTCTGGAATGTTTTAAAGTAAACCCTAGACATCACATTACTTCAACATTTAAATGCTTCATAGTATATCCCTACCAGATAAGAAAATTAAGGAAATAATAATAAAAGTGTCTCACCCAGTGTCACAATATAACTTCAAAAAATTAAATGATACCTAGTACATCTTTCTACAATAGTTTAATTGAGACCATAGTCCAAATATGCTCCACAGATTTCATTTGGCTGATACATTTCTTGTATCTCTTTTAATGATATGATTGTTTCCTCATTCTCTCTCCTCCCTTTGCATGTTATGAAACTGTTGCATTTATCCTGTAGAATCTCACACATTCCAGTTTTCACTGGCTGCATTCCCTTCATATTGTATAGCATGATTCTCTCTTATTGTATTTCTGAATTACCTGTAGGCAGGTCTGGGAGCATCTTATTGATCATCTCGTTGCATTCCATCAATAGATGCATTGTATTAGGTTATATTGTAAAGATTTATTGGTAATAATAGTGATTAACTTAAATGCCATTCATCCCTTGTAAAATTCCCTATCAAATTTTCACCTAAGAATTTTAACATCTATTGATGGCTTTGTCTAGATGCATTATTTAATTGGATATTGTGAAATGGTGCTCTAGTTTTATCATTCTCCCTATATTTATTTGCTTTGATTCTTTTCTGGGGGGCGTGGGAGTAGAAGGATCACTGTTCTAAAGAAGTATAGACAAGGGCTATAAATAATAATCAAATCTTAAGATGTCAATTTCACTCATACATTATTTTTTGGGGTGCTCTATATATTAGCTACCACAAATCAGAGAAGACATGATATTTGTCTTTTTGAGTCTAGTTTATTTCACTCAGCATAATGGTCTCCAGTTACATGAATTTTGTTGCAAAAGACAGGATTCATTCTTTTTCATGGCTGAGGAGCATTCCATCATGTATGTATACCATATTTTCTTTATATAGTCGTCAGTTGATGAACCAGTGTCCTTTTTTAAAAGATTTATTTATTTGAAAGATAAAATGACATACAGACCCCCATCACCACCACCAACACTACCACCACCACCACCATGCACATGTGCACACACACACTCACACTCAGAAGGAGAGAGAGAGACATATTTTCCATCCACTGGTTCACTCCTCAAATGGCCACAACAACTGAGGCTGTGCCAGGTTGGAGCCAGTAGCCAGGAAGTCCATCTGGGTCTCCCATGTGGGTTGCAGAAACTCAACTGAGCCATTGTCTGCTGCTCCCTGGGTGCTTTATGGAGCTGGGTTAGATGTGGAGTAGGCAGGACTTGAACCAGCACTATGATTTGGGATGGGGGCATCCCAAGTGGTGACTTAACCCACTATATCACAATGCCTGCCCCATTACAGTGTTCTTTAAGTTATCTGTTGTTGTGCAGTAAACCATGTCAAAGCCTATTAAGGAAGAATAATTTATTACTTCTCACAGTTCTGAAATCTGTTCATAGTTGAGCTGGCTGGTTCTTCTGCTTCACTTACTGTTTGTGTAGGTTGGGAGGTCCTAGATGGCTTCTTCACTCTTATTGTGCTACCTTTTCTGGGTTGGCTGAAACCAGCTGGAGACTGGTTCTTTCTCTGTGAACGTGGCTTCTCCATATGTCTGGCTAGAACTTCCTTCCACCATGGTCTGAAGATAAGAGAATTCTTTATATGATGATGACTTGCATGAAGGAGAAGGTGGGAGCTGCCAGTTTTCCTAAAGTCTAGGGAGGGAACTGACTCACTGTCCCTTCTCCCTCATTTTATTGGCACAGCCCAGGTTCACAGGGAAGGAAATAGCTTCTACCTTTGGTGTGTGAAAAGCAACACACATGTGAGGGGAAGGTTGCAGCCACCTGGAGGTTTTCTGAAACAGAGTTAACATTATGTGAGTGAAGACATACACATAAAAGTAGCAGTTAAACTAGGATACATGCTAAAGAAGCAAACCTTGCTGTTTAGATGAAATCTCTGAAGGAAGCACATGGGCTCAGTCTGGTCAGGAAAGTGTGTCAAAATCAAAGTTAAAAATTGATCAGTGATTATTAACGTGTAAACCTGAGTTAAAGATGAGGACCATGGGGTTGGCATTATGACATAGCAGGCAAAGCTGTAGCGTGTGAGGCCAGTATCCCATGTGGGCACCAGTTTGTGTCCCGGCTGCTCCATTTCTTATCCAGCCCCCTGCTGATGGCCTGGGGGAGGCAGCAGAAGATGGCCCAGCTACCTGCGAGACTCAGGTGAGGGTCCTGGCTCCTGGCACAGCCCTGGTGGTTGTGGCCATCTGGAGAGTGAAGCTGTGCTTGGAGAATCTCTTTCTCTCTGTCTCTCCCTTTCTTTCTGTAACTCTGACTTTCAAATAAATAAATAAATCTTTAAAAGAAATGAGGAACATTCTGCTCTTTGATCTGTTAAAATTCAAGTCTCTCTTTAATGATCTAAAGCTGTTTTCTTTTTCAAGTTGGAACATAATGGCATTTTGATAAATGATTAGTTCCTATTATTTTTCTCACCAGAGAAGTGTTTGGAAAAATTGGTAATTATGCTGGGCAAATCTGTAGTAAACTTTTCTTGTGCTACAATCAGAAATGGGCTGCAAATGGCTCTGATAGTCCCTTTTCTTGATCTGAGCCATTTAATGAATTTTTTTTCTTTTTATAAGATTTTATTTGAAAGGCAGAGTTACAGAGACAGAAGGACAGACACAGAGTTAGAGATCTTGCATCTGCTGGTTCACTCCCCAAATGGTTGCCGAAGCCAGGAGGCAGGAGCTTCTTCCAGGTCTCCCAAGTGCAGGAGCCCAAGTATTGGGCCATTTTCTGCTGCTTTCCCAGACCATTAGCAGAGAGCTGATTGGAAGTGGAGCAGCTGGGAATTGAACCAGCACCCATATGGGATGCCTGTGTTGTAGTCAACTGCTTTACCTACAATTCCACAGTGTTGGCCTCTTATGAGTGTTTAAGTATAATTAATTTCAAAAGTCTTAAAAGACCCAGATAAATCAAGAGGGCACAATGAGGATATAGAAAATATCCTTTTTTAAAACTATACAGAATTTCATAAATAATTTCCCTTTAATGATAGCACCTTTTAATTTGAAAGGGAGATAAAAAAAAGAGCCAAATGCCAGCAATAGCCAGAAGTGGGCCAGGCTGAAGCTGGCTTAATCCCGATCTCCCACGTGTGTGACAGGAGCCCAGTTGTGTGAGCCATCATGACTTCTTCCCTGGGTCGGCATTAACAGGAAGCTGGAATCTGGGAGCCAGAGTTGGGAATCAAACCAGTTACTCTGATGTGAGATACAGGTATCTTAACCAGTATCTTAACTGCTAGGCCAAATACCTACCCTTAATTTATAACGATTTTGACAATTTCCACTATTATCGGGTATGCTCCTTTGTGGCTTTTTATTGTAACTCTTTCCCAGGCTTGTGGTCACTTATTTCTGTGGCATTTCATGAAAACAGGTGTGTAATAGAGGCTTGTAATATTCACAATGAAACCAGGACCAAGAGCCTTGCAAGCCCTCCCTCCCACAGGCTGAGTAATGAATAATTCATCTGGACAACAAAATTCCTCCCTTCTCTGCCTTTAAGATAAGGAAGACTGATGCTAAAAATAGGCTTTAAGTTACTTTCAAAGATGGACACAGTGCAAGAAAGAATAAACATAAATGAAGTAGACACAAAAGGAAGAAAATGTGGGCAGGCAATAAATTTAAGCTGTCCACAGAATACATGGGCTGGAGCGGGAAGCTGCCTCCCATCAAGGCAGAAGAAGAGAAGCAGCTGTCCCAAGATCCTAGCTTAGTAACTAGCCTTGAAGAGACAAGAAGATAGATTGTGTTAGGAAAACGTTTCGTATTGTTTTGATGATCTGTTAGTAGTACCCAAGGATTACAGTCCATGGGAGAAAAAAACAACATTTTCTGAAACCTGAATCCCAATTAGTGGGGTAGATGTTCTGATATCTTAAAATCTTTTTATTATTTAAAGTCAACATTTAAACTTCATGAAATAAGAACAGTTCTAGGGGCCAGCACTGTGGCATAGTGGGTAAAAGCTCCCACTTGCAGTGCCAGCATTCCATACGGTTGCTGGTTCTAGTTCCAGCTGCTCCATTTCCAATCCAGCTCCCTGTAATGTGTCTGGGAAAGCAGCAACAGATGACCCACGTCCTTGGGCCCCTGCACCCACATGGGAGTCTGGGATGGAGCTCCTGGCTCCTGGCTTCAGCCTGGCCCAGCCTTGCCTGTTGAGGCCATTTGGGGAGTGAACCAGCAGATGGAAGACCTCTTTCTGCCTCTCTCTCTTTCTGTAACTCTGACTTTCAAATAAATAAATAAATAAATAAATCTTTTTTTTTTTTCTCTCAAGAACGGTTCTAGTGTCCAGCAAAGGGAACGTAGCACTCACGGTTCATAGATTCCTCAATGACTACTGCCTGAGCAGCTTGTCTGTGTGTGTGAATCTGTGCTCTTAGGCACCAAGGCTGTGGCAGTGATCAAGAACCAGATGTAAATGACAATTAACAGAGGGGCGGTGGCCATGGTTTTACAACCACTGAATGCACTTAATGCCTCTGGATGCTAAGGTGGTAAATGTATGTTATGCATACTTTTATTTTATGTAGTAAAAACAGGCAATTAAGGGAGATAAAAGGCTATATAGTGGAAATTAATCAAGGGGGTGGGATGTTAGGAACTATGGAGGGGCCCTCTACTCTGCCTTGGGGTAGAGGAGCAGAAAGTCCTGGAGGGGATAATTGGGTCCCTGATCCAGAAAGGGGTTGTTATCCAGATGGGCTTTGGAAGGTTAGGGTACCGGGTGGGGTGTGTTGTGTGTGACCTGAAGAGCCTGTTGGTGGACATTGACAGGGCCCTGGGGTGCCGGCCCTGCTGCAGGGCACTGTGCTGCACTCTGAGGTAGGTGCCTTCCAGCTGCACTTAACCTAGGCTTCCCGTGTGCTTTTGTTTGCAGACAGCCATCCTGAGACGACAGGGGCGGTACCTGCGCTCCACAGTTCCCGTGAACGCGCAAGAGGAAGCACACAGCTTATTCGTCACAGAGGTCAGGCTTCTTTCTACATTAGCTTACATTTTAAAGTAATTTTCCTCCAGTTTCCTTACCCCAGTCTTTAAATGTAGTGTTTTCAAGGAAGTGTCAAAGAAGTAATTGTTCTTTTTTATGATAGACGTTGAAATAGGAGAATAGCATTAGATTTCAAATTCTGAAACTTGGACAGAAATTTCCCCTGGGGTAATTTCTGACTTAAAAAAAAATGAGTTTGACAGAATTTATCTCATAGGCTTAGTATAAAGAGTGACTTGTAAATGAATTCACCTGAAATCTCTATCAGATGATTTGATATTGATTTTATCAGTATTTACTTTAAATAGTGACAGCACACTCATGTATGTGTTCACTCATGTCTTCATATTTGCAGGTTATTTTCAAGACTAGTTTAATATGCACGAAGTGGCTGGTGGCAATGAGCAGAGGCTCGTCACTGTGTGACTGTATGACTGTTGGTTGAATGTAGATAACATTATCTTGTTGTGGAGGAAAGGGAGATTATTTCAGTCAAGGTTACTTGTCCGCGCCACCCCCAGCCCGGGCCAGGGGTGTTTGTTTCTTTCTCCAGGTATTTTGATTTCCTTGAAGTGCTTCGTCACTTAAAAATAACGAGTTTTAATCCTCACTTTTCTAGTCGATATTTAGATGATAAATACGCTCCTCAATGAAATTGCATGCTACAAGGATGCTCTGTACTTTTGAGCGAAGACCAATTAAATAATACTTAGTTTTACTTTAGATTTTTGAAAAATTAAATACATATTTAAAAATTTTGAAGTATTCTTGTTCTTCTGAAGAGGAAATCTCCTGCCTTACCCATTTTGCCACTGTATTAGTTAACTTAATGCCAGACAAGTGCAGCCGGATATGATTATGGGATTTTAACTGTTCCTTTAAAAGCAGGAGGTAGGCAAACTATGACCTACAGCCAAAATCTGTCCTGCAACCTTTTCTATAGATAAAGTTTTATTATAACACAGCCCACTTGTTTACATATTGCCTATGGCTATTGTCACAATACAACTCAGAGCTGAATAGTTGCAGCAGAGATAACATGAACCACAAATCCAAAAATATTCAACGTCTGGTCTCTTGCAGAAAAAAATCTGTTGAGCGTGTGGCAGAATTATTAATTGCTAACAGTCTCTCCATCGATTAAGAAAATGTGGTGTTTGAGGATAACTTTCCTTCACGTTCTTTAATCACTGTAGCTTGAGCAGTAGATGCTTCACTTTATGGTACTGGAGCCAACAGAGCTGAACTCTTTTGGGACCTTTCCACTTGGGTGGAGGGAAATATCACTTCCTTTCCAGAGAAGAATGATCTAGTGGCTTAAAAACAAAAAACCAAAAACTTCAAAACTCTGAGTGTAGCTTCAAAATATCACTGAATTTCCTAAGTTTGAACTGTTCCTCATGTAACCAGCTGGTCATGTTCCTGTTTGGAGGTGCAGTTCTTCAGCCAAGATTCTTGATGGAGCCTGTTGGCTCCTAGACTTTATATATCCTAGGAAGGGATTTGGATTTATTGCCTTATTCAGTGCTTCGTCCTTAGAATTTAGCCTGCTATTGACAGTCAACTATGACTGCTTAAGTATACTTAACGTGGGTACCTATTTTTTTTTGAAAGACCTTATCATTTAAAATATTTGAAAGTTAAAATTACTTTGATTTCCCATCTTTTCTAAGATATTAAAAATGATATGTTCCATTAGTGCTTTCATGTTATTCAAGCATCTACTTATTTGTGTGTGTATGATGTGTGTTTCTGTGTGTGTTTTAAGATTTATTTACTTGAAAAGCAGAAAGAGAGAGAGGGAGAGACAGAGACACACTACTATTTTCACTCCCCAGGTGTCCACAATGGCTGGGGCTGGACCAGGCTGAAGCCAGGATCCTGAAGCTCCCTCAGGTCTTCCACATGGGTGGCAGGGGACAAGCACTTGCACCGCCTTCCCCTGCTTTCCCAGACACATTAGCAGGAAGCTGGATCAGCTGGCTTTCCACTATGGGATGCCGGCATCACAGGCATCTGTTTAACCTGCTACACCACAATTCCAGCCCCATATTTATTTAGTTTTTAATTGGGCAGATACATTTTATTACATTTTGGAATGATTTTAATGTCCCTCAAGGAGACAACTTCAGTTGCAGAGAATGATGGAAAACTGCCATAGCCAGATGAAGGGAATCGGAGCATGTCTTTTAGACTATGTCACGCATGCGCCTAACCTAGCTGTGCTCATGGAGCTAGGGGCAGTAGTAGGAAAACCCAAAGCTATGGATAATTCAGAAATTGTATTGCTTTTACAATGTTATTTTGATTATGGATGTCTGATATTCTAAGTGTGAATATGCTTTGAGAAATGTTTTAAAGTATTAATATGAATATAATAATATTTTTAAATAATTCTAACTGCATAGCAAAGAAATTGAAAAGTTGCTCAGTGGCCATCCGATTTGCTTCAGCCACTCCGTGCCATTTGTTCTGACTCTGCCTATGCTGCCTTCCCTTCACGTCTGTGTAAGGAGAGTGCCTGACGTGGAGCTGGGCACAGCATGACAGGAAGCGCTTGTTCTTCTTGCTGTTGTTGCCGGGATTGTTTTCATGAGTTTAGGGGTGGAGGGGGTTTGGTGCCGAAGGCCTTCAGGCATAAACTATGTCATAGAGAAAAAGATTGATGGCATAAATTGTGAAGTGAAATAAGCAGAATAGAAACTTCATTCATCATGTTCATTGCAATCAAAGACAAACAAGGTGAGACATAGGGAATTTATCTACCTAAGGTTTTTTTTTTTTTTTTTTTTTTTTTTGCCACACTGACATGTGTGTAACTGTAGTCAAGAGCTGACCATACAGAGCACTATTTGAACTAAACCAATGCTAACTACAACTCTTTACCTGTTCATTTTGACTCATTGTGGATGTGGCCTTCCAATCTTATGACAATGCATACTATTGGAAAGTTCCTCATGGTTAGATGAATGAAACATGTTGCCCTTGTCTGTTGAATCTCTCAGGTAGCAAGGTAGTTGACATGCAGTCTACGTAGGTCAGTGTCATTGGTGCGCTCCTTGGCAGTGTAGGGGTCCATATATTGTCCATTCTGTATGCACACACACAGATGTCACATGTCACTATGAATTAAAACATCTTTTTTCCTGATAGCCTCACTCTATTCCTTATGAATAAAAGACAAATGAGGACGAGTTTATATGATATATTATCTGAGATAGCTCTAACACTAGTAAGTACCATGAACGTGGTTTTTAAGTTTATACTTCCTGTTCACTTTCGTGTCTTATAAGAGGACATACTGCTTCCTAAGAACCAAGTGCTGTTAATCCAAAAGAGTACATCACTGTGGATATGCTTACAGGCTTAGGTGAAGTTTGTCTCCATGATGTGGTCTCAGATCTGTGCTGCTAAAGTGATACTTCTCCCAAGGGTCATGTTTCAGTGGCTCAAATTCTCCAGCTTCACACACAGGCTTGTGTGGTGGTGGAACTGGAGGCGTTGGCAGAGAACGGGAAAGCACTTTTTGATGTTTGTGTGGGTGTGTCTTCCCAAACCTTCCCAAATGTTCTCTAAAACTTTGTTTTCCTCTTATCCTTTCTGTTTTTAAAATCCCTGTTCCCTCCAATAGTGCATCAAAACCTACAACTCTGACTGGCACATTGTGAACTACAAATATGAAGATTACTCAGGAGAGTTTCGACAGCTTCCAAAGTGAGTAAATTGTCAGACCACACAAGATGGGGCTATCCTCAGGGGAAAGTCTTTGTGCTTGACTCGCTCAGGGAGGAACGGGACTTCATGTGCAGCCAGGGTAATTGGAGAACGCATTCCTAGATGACTTGTGTCTATGGTGAAGCTGTTGCTCACAGGGCCTCTGATTCTAAGACTCAGGCATGGTGCCCTGGTACTGGGAGGTGGTCTCTGTGCGTGTATCACAGATAAGACACAAACAGGTGAAGTGCTTTTCACTGAGAAATATAAAACAAACAAAATGTGCATTGAAACATGCTGCAGTGGATTTTTTCCCTTTAAAAGATTATTTTGAAGTAGAGACTTCTAAAAAGCATTTGATAGTAACTACATTTTATGATAAAGAGTAAATCAAGGGAAAGGTGTTTTCCCCAATGAATTTCTGTTCCAGCTATAAAGTGTTACCGCCTTCCAGACCAAAGCAGACACAAGCGTTGTGGTCGCTAAAGTGACTCAGAGGGGGCAGGTTGTGCTCCAGAGGCTGTTACGGCCCAGTGCATCCTGCAGTGATGCCTTTGGCAAATTATAGTCAACCTTGAGAACTGAAAGCAAATAACGGTATTTTAAAAGTAATAGCATCCTTGAAAATTTTTTCTTGGAACCTGGTTAATAGATTTTTCTCTGTGTTTGTTGCATCTCTGACTTTGGTCCTTTTTGCTATTCTCGGTGGACCTGGCTGTTTGTTTTTCCTATGTGTGTGGCTCAGCCACTCCTTAAGAGTGTTCAGCCAACTCCTCGCTTGCCTCTCTTTAAAGTTCAGCGGCGAACACTCCCTAAGTACTGTCTTCTCTACATGGGCTCACTCTTTAGTTCTGTGTTTACCCACTACTCACTTGAGGATCTTCCTAACTCTTCCCATTTGTTTGGCTCAACCCATCTTCATGGACTATCTTGTTCATACTAGGTCGTGGTTGAAAGGTAACAGATAATGGAGTATAGTGTACTTACTAGGTGACAGACTGACTGCTGGTAGAATTTGCAGCCGTGTGATGAGCGAGGGAGGGAGAATTGTTATAGTGGTTGAGAACATAGCTTCTGTGTTCTGCCTGGGTCAACTCTGCCTCTCTCTGCAAACCTCACTTTCCTCATCTGTTAAATGAGCTTAGCTACTCTAATTAAATGAGATATTGCATATAAAGTTCACAAGGCCTAGCACTAATAACTTTAATAAATATCGACTGCCATTGTTACTGTTGTCTTTGTTATTAGTACCATCATTGTTAATCACTTTAAATTTAATGATCCCATATTCTATTTTCTCCCATAACTTTGTGTTAAAAGTTATTCTACCAAGTTATTATTTATTAATTAATAGTAACTAATCCACTTTCCCATTTTAAATATACCTACTAAACCAAACTTAGTTTTTTGGAGCTTTCTAATTCAAGTCTCTTGGCTCACACCCTTTGAAAAGCAGTGGCAGGCCGGCGCCGCGGCTCACTAGGCTAATCCTCCGCCTTGCGGCGCCGGCACACCGGGTTCTAGTCCCGGTCGGGGCGCCGGATTCTGTCCCGGTTGCCCCTCTTCCCGGCCAGCTCTCTGCTGTGGCCAGGGAGTGCAGTGGAGGATGGCCCAGGTGCTTGGGCCCTGCACCCCATGGGAGACCAGGAAAAGCACCTGGCTCCTGGCTCCTGCCATCGGATCAGCGCGGTGCGCCGGCCGCAGCGCGCTGGCCGCGGCGGCCATTGGAGGGTGAAACAACGGCAAAAGGAAGACCTTTCTCTCTGTCTCTCTCTCTCACTGTCCACTCTGCCTGTCAGATAAAAAAAAAAAAAAAAAAAGAAAAGCAGTGGCACATACTGTTTTTGTCTTCATCTGAGTGGGCCAGTCTGGGATTTTTGAAGGCTGGTTCCTGTGTTGGAGAAAGAAAATAATTGGTTAGGAAATTATAAAACAAATTTTCTGGGGCTAATGTGGCATAGCAGGTAAAACTTCCACCTGCGATGCTAGCATCCCATTTGGGCACTGGTTCCAGTCCTAGCTGCTCCACTTACAGCCGAGCTCCCTGCTAATGGCCTGGGAAAAGCAACTCAGGATGGCCCAAGTCCTTGGGCCCCTGCCCCCACATGGGAGACCTGGAAGAAGCTCTTGGCTCTTAGTTTCAGCCTGGCCTAGTCCCTGCAGTTGTGGCCATCTGAGGAGTAAACCAGTTAAATGGAGGATCTCTCTCTATCCCTCTCCTTCTGTAACTCTGACTTGCAAATAAGTAAAAATAAATCTTAAAAAAAAAAAAAAAGATTATTTGAAAGACAGAATTACAGAGAGAGGTAGAGAGGAGAGAGAGAGGTCTTCCATCCGCTGGTTCACTTCCCAGATGGCCACAACGGCCAGAGCTGTGCTGATCTGAAACCAGGAGCCAGGAGCTTCTTCCGGGTCTCCCATTTGGGTGCCAGGGTCCCAAGGACTTGGGCCTTCTTCTACTGCTTTCCCAGGCCGTAGCAGAGAGCTGGATTGGAAGTGGAGCAGCCAGGACTAGAACTGGCGCCATATGGGCTGCCGACGCTTCAGGCCAGGGCGTTAACCTGCTGTGCCACAGTGCCAGCCCCGTAAATAAATCTTGGGGCTGGCTCTGTGGCATAGAAGGTTAAGCTTCTGACTGCAATGCTAGCATCCCATACGGGCACGGTTTGAGGCGCAGCTGCTCTACTTCTGATCCAGCTCCCTGCTAATGTGCCTGGGATGGCCCAAGTCCTTGGCCCCCTGCACCTACATGTGAGTCTGTGATGAAGCTCCTGACTCCGCGCTTCAACCCAGCCCACCTGGCTGTTGAGATAATTTGGGGAGTTGAGCCAGCAGACTTAAGATCTTTCTCTGTGTCTCGCCCTCTCTCTGTGGCTTTGCCTCTCAAATAAATAAGTAAATCTTAAATGAATAGATAAATACTTTTTTTTAAAAAAAAGCCAAACAAGTTTTCTTTCTTGTTTTTAAAGCAAAGTGGCCAAGTTGGACAAGCTTCCCGTTCACGTCTATGAAGTTGATGAGGAGGTCGACAAAGATGAGGTGGGCTGCTTGCTTGCTGTTCTCTTTTTGGTTGATGGACTTTATAGGCCTAGCATTTTAGGAAATTACCAGCATTAATCAAAACAAGAACTGGAATGTTTCAGGCAACAGAGGAAGTATTATTTTTTTAATGTGTCATTTGATTGACTAAAATAAGGGCTGTGTTTCAACTTGACCACTTAGCATTTCATGTTCTTTTGGCCCTGTTTGTTTGTTCTAAGATCCCTTTCAAAGACTTGGGTTGGATTTTGGCTACATTGTTAAAAGATATCAAGATAACTTAGACCTTAAATTTAGATTGTTTTCCAGCAGGATATCTTGAAATAAACTGCCAGCTAGTATATGTAAGGTGACTGTTTCTTCAGTGATTGCTCTTAGTGAAGCCTGCTGTTCCCAAGCCCTCTCCCCTTCCGCTTGGAGAGAGGTGTAGCTGGAGAAGTTTGTGAGAGAGGAGGGCATTAAAGGGAGGTGTTCCACCAAGCCAGGGACACCTGATGAGAAGGCGGTGCTACCCACCTTAGTGCATCTCATTCTCCACACTAAATGTTGGATGCTCCATCGTTAAGTTAAGGTTTTTCCTTAAAAAAAGAAAAAAAAGTCAGCTGAGCCATAACTCCAGCCACTTATGAACTTCAGAGATGTCCATGTTGCAAAAATTATTTTAGAAATTACTTTTAAAATACTTTTGAGAAAAGCAAGTGGGCATTCAAAATGAACCAGGTGTTAAGAACTTAGTCTTGATTAATAGTGACAGGAGAAACAATTGAAACAAGGAAAGGGTGCAAAACAGACAGATAGCAAAATTATAGGCAGGTAAGTTGTTCTGTTATTGCCAGTAATAACCACTAATATTAATGTTGAGGTGGTCCAAAACAAAGCACAGGATATGTCTGCAATTGTCTGATCACAAAGGATTTTCTGGATTGTGTGTGTGTTTCATTTGTTTACTGTGCAAATGGATATGTGCCTCACCTAATTTTAGCATCAGCTGGCAGCCCCATGCCCACTTCTTTAAACCCAGACCTGAACTTGAAGAGCAGTGTCTTTAGTTCCAAGCGATTTCTGTTCACTGTTCAATTCCCCACGTCGCTTCTGTCCCTCTGGCATTCTTCCCTCCTGCTTTTCTCTGCCCCTTCATTCATCTCTCCTTTCTGACCGCCTCACAGTTTCTCCCTTTCTTTATTCACCTTTCCCTGAACTAAGCCTCTGGGAAGGTTTCCAGGAATTTGCTTTTGTCCTCTGAGTATATTTGAGAACATTTTTCATGAAACAAGGAGAGACCTCACAACTGAAGTGGTCAAGCATGGTATGTACTTTCTGTGGGTCATTCAGCACTTAAAAATAAAAATTTGGACTGGAGCTAGCTTTGCCTTTAATGGAATAGGATTTTCAGAAATATGAGCTGATCTTTTTATTTTAGTGCTAAGTGCACTTTCGTGTGACTTCTAGGTAGAGAACCATGGTTGCCTCCATGAAAGGGCTGTGACCAAGTGAACACAAATGGAATGATTTCCCATTGACCAAAATCACGACAAATAGCATAGGAAGTCACGGGGGAGTGACTGCAGTGGCGTTTTCCTTCTCTCCTAGGATGCTGCCTCCCTTGGTTCTCAGAAAGGCGGAATCACCAAGCACGGGTGGCTGTACAAAGGCAACATGAACAGTGCCATCAGCGTGACCATGAGGGTAAGGAGAGTCCCCATCCTTTCCCTCTGCTGAGGGCCGTGAGCGTGATGCTCAAGATGAATGGGCGTGCTGTTGTTTCTGACAAAAGAGACACTGTTTGCTTTAAGATGCTTCCCTGTTGTGCATCTCCCTTGGTACAGCCCTGTCCACCAACCACTCCTCGCTGCCCTCCACAGCAGCATAAGGACACCCTCCCTGGGTGGGTGTGAATCTACAGTCACCGACACAGACTTTCTTCTCTTCATTGTCTGCAAAATGCCCCCTTGGGACCTCACAGAGCATCACCGAGGGCCTGTGTTCCATGCTGACCCCAGGCCCTTTTGTAGAGCTATACTGCAGCAAAGTCAAGCAGACATTGAACACTAAAGAGGAACATCAGAAGAGGGTTCCAAAAAGCGAGGTTAAACTGGGATGAGAAACGATACAGGAGACAAGGAAGCCCAGAGCAAGATCGAGATCAATAATAAAGAGAGAAGAAACCATGGGGGGGAGGTTGGAAAGCAGGGAGATGAAAATTAAGCCAAAGAAATGCTGAGTGTCATCATCCTGGGGCTGGAAAATCGTTCAGTGTCATAGTTCCTGCTGGTGTGTGGATAGGATGCCCTGGGGATTGGAGGGGAACTTTCCATTCTTCTGTGCTGCGTCTCAAAGTGGAACTCCCTGTGCTGCTCTTGGGTTGTTATGTAAAATCCTAAATTCCGTGGGTAAGAAAAGTGGCCTGTGAGTGATATGTGAGCCACATCCTTAGAACTGAAATGCAATGAGACTGTTAGAGGTGATGGAGAGTTACCTGGAGTGATGGCTAGAAGGAGTTTGTTTTAAAGAGAACTGAAAATGGTTTTTTTATGTATGGGTGTGGTCATGCGTTACCAGCAGAGATTATAGCTTTTCATTTTGCAAGAATAACTGTGTGTATTTTTCTTGCAGTCATTTAAGAGACGATTTTTTCACCTGATTCAACTTGGTGATGGTTCTTATAATTTGAATTTTTATAAAGATGAAAAGATCTCCAAAGAACCAAAAGGATCAATATTTCTGGATTCCTGTATGGGTGTGGTCCAGGTAAATTCGCAAAAAATTTTATCATCAAATTTTCTTACATGTAGTAGTACTTTGTGTGAATTAACAGATTTGAGTACATCCAAAATAGCCGTGTTTGTGGCAGAAATAAAACACGTAACTTTAAAATAAATAGGAGCTTGTTTTTCATTATCTTAGACAATGGGAAGTGTCAATCGGGGCAAGGTTGTGTTGAGCACTCTGGCCCCTGGCTCAGCCGTGTTTGAGCTTTGTGACCTTGGACAGACCACTTATATAAAGTTTCTTCATCTCTAGAATTCAGATAATGATGTCTCCTTGGTAAATTTGGTAAGATTACCGGATGGCTTACCCCCTGGAAATATTTAGCACTGTTCTCAGCATCTCAGCAAGGACTTCAGTCATTGCCATCACAGTACTAGTGGGGTGTGGTGTTTTGGTCAAGAGAGAAGATTTTCAATGCAGATCGAGTTCAAATTTCTACTCCACACTTATTGGTTCTTATTATATTAGAGGTGTTTTCTTCCCACTGGGCCTAGTTTCCCCAATTATTAAGTAGGGATAATGTTAGTACCAGAAATGGTTACTGAGAGGATTAGTTAATTAGCACTTGTAACGAGCTGGAGCAGGGCCTGTAAAAGGTAGACATTTTGCCAGTAGTGGATACTTTGTGATCAGTGCTGATGCACTTATAGAGTTACTCTTATAAATTTTCTTACCGTGTAAGGGTGTTAATTGTAAAACATCAGATAGTACAGGTTAAGTGAAAATTTGTAGATTCCCTCTTTCCTCCTCCCATCTCTGCTTTTCTCAGAGCTATTAAAAGTTTGGTCTGCATCCTTCAATATTTTTAGAATTGTCTTTATAAAAGAATTGCTGATTTCCCCATCTGTCCATCCATGCATCCATCCATCTCCTTACTACTTGCTAGGAAGATTGAAGGCAGCACCTTACGCAGATATGTACAGCACAAGATAGGTACAATATGTAGCATAAATTTAGAGTGGAAGTCAGACAGAAGATGGACAAGGATTTGGGTATGGGTCACATAGAGTGGAACTGAGAAAAGAAACACGACTGGACTCTCTGCCTTCTATCTCGGACACCTGTTCAGTCTGCCCATTCACAGTGCATTGAAGACACAGACAAGACAATCAGTCAGAAGCTGACCAAGTAATCCCAGGCAGGCCTTTCTCTTGGGGACCCTCAGACAGAGGGCCCTGTGATTAATGAACAATCTCCCTGACAACTTCTCACAATAGATGCAGTCACCATTATCAGAATTCTCCTTAAAATGACTCTGTAGTGGCCGATGATGTCAGCCAGAAGTTTGATTCTATAAGGAGGTGGTTGTGTGGGACCAGCATGATTAACGTCAGGGAGACAGCTCTCTCTGGTTAGACCACGGGCACACTTGGTTATGTATTTATATGTTTGCCCAAAATTAAATTATGTTTCCACCCAAGGGATATGTTCCATCCAATTGAAAGACTAAACTCCTGAAGGGTAACATTAAACATGCTTCTGCCCCCCCTCTCCCCCAGCTCACCCACTCCCCTGAACTGTTTGCAGTATGCTTTCTGGCATCTGTCTTCGTGTTACTGGATAACAGACGTTGCTGCTGTTCCTCCAGCAGTTTTGGATGTTGTTGAGAGACTTCCTGCGCGGGTAGGTAGGGTGTTAGCTCCTGGCGCGCTCTCCTGCTCCAGTGCAGGCTGGTTGCCTCCTCTGCCCTGCACAGTTGCTCTCCCGGGATCCCTTCTGCTTTCTTCCGTGTGCTCGGCGCCCTGTTTCCGAGACGCTGTGTCTTCCTCCTCCTTGCTCTCATTTCTTGTTTCAGAGGGGCACATTCTCCAGTCGTTTCCTGAGAAGCTGTCTATGATGATGAGTTTTTGAAAGCTAGCACATCTGCACATATCTTTATTTTATTTTTTTTATTTTTTTATTTTTTTGACAGGCAGAGTGGATAGTGAGAGAGAGAGACAGAGAGAAAGGTCTTCCTTTGCCGTTGGTTCACCCTCCAATGGCCGCCGCGGCCGGCGCGCTGCGGCCGGCGCACCGCGCTGATCCGATGGCAGGAGCCAGGAGCCAGGTGCTTTTCCTGGTCTCCCATGGGGTGCAGGGCCCAAGCACTTGGGCCATCCTCCACTGCACTCCCTGGCCACAGCAGAGGGCTGGCCTGGAAGAGGGGCAACCGGGACAGAATCCGGCGCCCCGACCGGGACTAGAACCCGCTGTGCCGGCGCCGCTAGGCGGAGGATTAGCCTAGTGAGCCGCGGCGCCGGCCCTATCTTTATTTTTGCATTCGTACTTGGCTCATCGTTTGGCTGGATATAGAAGTCCAGCGAGAGATAATTTCACTTTGGAATTTCAAGGGCATTTTAGTAACCTGTAGATGCTGGTGTCCAGTGGAGGCTGATGTTCTTACTCCATGCTCTTTGTGAGCTTCTCCTTATCGCTAGTGTTCTGAAATTTAGGTCATGTGTCTTCATTTTCTTTTGGTAAACTTTTTTTTTTTAAACAGATTTAGGCCGGTGCCGTGGCTCAATAGGCTAATCCTCCACCTGCATCGCCGGCACACCGGGTTCTAGTCCCAGTCAGGGTCCCGGATTCTGTCCCGGTTGCTCCTCTTCCAGTCCAGCTCTCTGCTGTGGCCCGGGAGTGCAGTGGAGGATGGCCCAAGTCCTTGGGCCCTGTACCCGCATGGGAGACCAGGAGAAGCACCTGGCTCCTGGCTTTGGATCAGCGCGATGCGCTGGCCACTGGCGCGCCAGCCGTGGCAGCCATTGAGGGGTGAACCAATGGAAAAAGGAAGACCTTTCTCTCTGTTTCTCTCTCTCTCACTGTCCACTCTGCCTGTCAAAACACACGTAATAGATTTATTTATTTAATTGAAAGAACTGGGTGTGGGGAGGGGGTGCAGAGGCATTTCTTCCATCTGCTGCCTCACTCCCGAAATGGCCACAATGGCTAGGGGCTGGACCAGGCCAAAGCCAGGAGCCTGGAACTCTATCTGGGTCTCCCCTGTGGGTGCAGGGTCCCAAGGACTTGAGCCATCATCCTCTGCTGCTTTCCCAGGCACATTAGCAGGGAGCTGGATCAGAGGTGGAGCAGCTGGGACTCAAGGTGGCACCCATGTGGGATGCCTGTGTCCCGGGCAGCTGCTTAACTTGCTGAGTCACTGCTGGCCCCAGTAAACATTTTTTGTTAAGGTATAGCATACAGATAAAGTATACACATAATAAATGTGTGGCCCAGTGAATTTTTACTGAAATTGGTTCTTCTAGCTCATTCTGGAAACTCTGTCCACAGTTTTCTGGGTACTTTGGTTGTCCTCAGCTCCAGTTGTTCTCTTTGACTCAGCAGGACAGCAGGGTTGTGCACTCTCCTTCCTGTGCCATGGCCCACATAGTGCCTCCAGGAAGAGCTGAGCTGCCCTGGGACTTACCTCATTTAGTTCCTTTCTGCCAGGGATCACCCTGCCTGTTGTCCCCCATCTGAAAATAGCCATTCCATCTGTTTCATCCTGTTTTCTGATAAAGATGGCGGCAGCCACATTGGAGTTCCTGGGGTTGATGCCTGCCTGTCGCAGACCCTGGTAGGCAGTGGTGATGTCTCAAGTACTCGGGTCCCTGTCCTCCCCATGTGAGAGCTGGATTGAGTTTATGGCTCCTGGCTTAGGTCCAGCCCACCCTGGCTGTGGCAGGCATGTTGGGAGTGAGCCAAAGGATAGAAACTCTGTTTGTCTATCTCTCTGCCTCACAGATAAATAAATTGAAAAACATTTAAAGGTATTTTCAGTCAACAACTAATCAGCTTGGGGATATCTGTCAGTAACAATCCACCCTCAGCTGAAAGGTGCCGCAGTGAACAATTTACATGTACCAGAGTGTGCTTACTGACTGTAAACTGTGAAGTCCCAGAATGAATTTATCAGTGCTAGTGAGTTAACTTCTTGGGTAGGATTCCCAAGTAGGAGTTTCATTTGTTTTCTTAGGTTGAGAGACTTTTAAGTTATTTTTTAGCTGAATTTTATTGCAATGACTTAAAAAAAATTTAAAGCCAAGCTAAATAGATTTGGCAACCTCATTTTTAAAGTAGACAGCAGTTATTTGTGTTTTATAGGAGAGTTTTGTTGCTTGTCTTCAGCACAGTGTACAGATGTTTATAAGTACAACAGCCCTGAGCTATCATTAGTCTCTGGGGTGCATTTTAACATCTAAGATCCTGACTTCAATGAAAGTCTTCTTCCTGAAATTCTTTTTGCAGATGCAGCTGATGGTGTTTTTCATTCAATGCATTGTATCTAAGGCTTCAGAAGATTAAAATAGTTTCTTTTATCCATATCTTTTTCCAAACTGAGCATCAGAAGTTGTTATTTAAATATCTTTTAAAAATTATTATTAGTGGCCCGGCGCCACGGCTCACTTGGCTAATCCTCCGCCTGCGGCACCGGCACACCAGGTTCTAGTCCCAGTTGGGGTGCCAGATTCTGTTCTGGTTGCTCCTCTTCCAGTCCAGCTCTCTGCTGTGCCCCGGGAGTGCAATGGAGGATGGCCCAAGTGCTTGGGCCCTGCACCCGCATGGGAGACCAGGAAGAAGCACCTGGCTCCTGGCTTCAGATCTGAGCAGCGTGCCAGCCGCAGTGCGCCAGCTGTAGCGGCCATTTGGTGGGGTGAACCAATGGAAAGAAGACCTTTCTCTCTGTTTCTATCTCTCTCACTGTCTAACTCCGCCTGTCAAAAAAATTATTATTAGCTTTTTGATGCTATAAAAATTACTGATTAATACTGTGACTTCACTTAAATGACTTACTAAAAACTTTAAGCCCAAAAGAAGTAAGATTTAGGATCTTAAGCCCTAAAAGTATTTTAAAACCCTTGAAATTGATAGACTTATTTTGCAGATGAGGAAACCAAGGCTCAACGTAGAATCAAGGCCCAATGTGTTCTCACTTTTAACTTTTTAGATAAAAAAATTGTTGTTTGTTTGTTTTGATTCTGAGAGGTGGGAGATGTGGACAAGAAAACTTACTTTGTCTCTAGCCTTTGGCTCCTTCTCTGAGCCTCGCCTTGAAGTTCAAGTGAGCTCCAGGGTGGTCGTTAACCAAGCCCACAGCAGAGTCTGGGCCCGGTTGTTTGTGGGACTCTGCCAGGAGCTGGACTTGGCTTCTCATTCCTACGAACTGTGCTGCAGGAAACGCTGGGAGATGTTGGGAGGGTCTCCCTGTCCCCGAGACCTGCACCAGGCGCTCCTTCAGGGACGTCATGGATGCAGGCGGTTCCGCCCACCTCAGGGCAGTGCCACGTCTCCACTTCATGCCCATGCCTGAGCTTTTAGGGAGAGTCTTGCGTTACGTTCCTCCATGGAGAACCTCTATGTAGCATAGTCATCCCGGGCCAGTTTTGGCAATGTCTGGAGACATTTTTGATTGTTAGAACATAGAGTTGTGGTACTGGTGTCTCATGGGTTGATGCCACAGTGTGAATCACCGTCATCCAATACCCAGAGCAGCCCCTCACAACAAAGAATGATCCATACACATGTCAGGAATACCAAAGTTGGGAAACCTTAGACTAGTGCATTGTCATCCTCTGTCCTTCACGCGTGTGGACCCACTGTGTGTGTACTCAGCCAGTCACCTTCTCGCGGGCATGTAAACCAGAGGCCCGAGGCAAGGCTAGAGACAGGGAGTCCAAATACCTTTTGGGATTCATAACTGCTGAGAAAGTTCCAGAGATGTTAAATCAAGCGTATTGACAGCTAATGGTTTGCTTCTTAAAATGTTAATACTGTATACTACTTCATTGAAGGAATTAGGCGGAAGCTAGAATTTAGGTTAGTAGGTATGGTACCCATGGCCCACACTGGAATACCTGGGTTCAATACTTGGTACCTAAGTCCAGCTTCCTGCTAATGCAGATCCTGGGAGACCATGGTGATGGCTTCCATAATTGGATTTTTGCCACTCATGTAGGAGACCTGGATTGTGTTCCCAGATCCTAGCTTTGGCCCCAGCTTGACCCTCACCTTTGTGGGCATTTGAGGAATGTACCAGGGAATGGGACTTCTCCCTCCATCTCCCCCTCTCCCCATATATTTAAATAGCTACAGGAACATGAAAATTTTCCATGAAATTTCATTTCAACAAAATTTCTGCAAATGCCCACTGTGTTCCAGACACTGTATAAGGAGCCAAGGCTGTGGCATTGAACAAAAGGAAGAAGAAATAATAAAGCAGGGAGAGGGGTTGTTGGTCTCGGGGAAGGAGCTTACAGCTTTACCTAAGTTGGTTCAGAAGGCCAGTGAGAAAGCACTCAACACAAGTAAGAGAATGTTATTCTTCTAAGAAGTTCCAAGTGCTTTAAAACATGTCTCTTTGCCTTTTTCCATTTCAGAACAACAAAGTTAGGCGTTTTGCTTTTGAGCTCAAGATGCAGGACAAAAGTAGCTACCTTTTGGCAGCAGATAGTGAAGTAGAAATGGAAGAATGGATCACAGTTCTCAACAAGATTCTCCAGCTCAACTTTGAGGCTGCAATGCAAGAAAAGCGAAATGGAGACTCTCATGAAGGTGGGTAGGTCTGCTTCCCCCAGGCACACACACTCTTCAGTTCCTTTTATTTTCGAGAGGTGGATATAGGGAGGAGTCCTACGTGTTTTTTTAACAACAACAACAACAACAACAACAACAAAAAACACTGCTGCCACTCAGGGTCAGCATTAGCAGAAAACTGGAATCAGGGTCCAGGTCTGGGAATCAAACCCGGCTATTCTGTGCATTGTGTGTGTGTGTGTTTGTTTTTTTTTTTTTTTTTTTTTTTTTTTAATTTGACAAGTAGAGTTATAGACAGTGAAAGAGAGAGACAGAGGGAAAGGTCTTCCTTCTGTTGGTTCACTCGCCAAATGGCCGCTATGGTCGATGCTGCGCCGATCTGAAGCCAGGAGCCAGGTGCTTCCTCCTGGTCTCCCATGAGGGTGCAGGAGCCTAAGCACTTGGGCCATCCTCCACTGCCCTCCTGGGCCACAGCAGAGAGCTGAACTGGAAAAGCAGCAGCAGGGACTAGAACCCGGCGCCCGTATGGGATGCCGGTGCTGTAGGCGGAGGATTAACCAAGTGAGCCAGCGCCAGCCCCAAGATGCATGCATTTTAATTGGTGTCTTAGCCATTAGGCTAAACTCCCTCCCCAGATCCATGAGAGGGAGGACAGATGTGAGCTTTTTTATTTTATTTTATTTTTTAAGATTTATTTATTTATTTGAAGGTCAGAATTAGAGAGAGAAAAAGGGAGACAGAGAGCTTTCATCTGCTGGTTGATCCCACAGATGCCTGCAATGGCCAGGGTTGAGCCAGCCAGAAGCCAGGATCCAGGAGCTTCATCCAGGTCTCCCCGATGGGTGACATCCTGTGCTGCATTTCCCAGGCCATTAGCAGGGAGCTGGATAAATTGGAGGGGCCAGGACACGAATTGATGCCCATGTGGGGTGCTAGCATGTAGGCAGTAGCTTTACCTGCTGCACCACAATGCGCCAGCCCCAGATGTGATCTTTTTACTAATAGCTGTCAGCAAAGGTTCTGTCATGTTAGAAGGTGCTACCCTGATGCCTTATGGAAATCGTGTAGTGAAGAGCCAAGCTTTGGGGGCAGAGAGCAAGACCCGGGTTTGAGTCTCAGCACTGCCGTTTTTCAGCTGTGTGACCTTGGGCAAGCTGTGTATGTGTTCTGAACCTCAGTTTACTCACCTACAAAATGCAATAAAAGCAAAGCTTGCTATTCTGATGGGAAGAATGAATAAGAGAATGAATCTCAAGTACCTGGCATGGAATCTACACTGACTATATTAATTAGTTATTATGCTATCATTAATGACATCCTTTTTTTGTTTGTTTGTTTTTTGGTTTTTTGTTGTTGTTGTTGTTGTTGTTGTTGTTTTTGACAGGCAGAGTGGACAGTGAGAGAGAAAGAGAGAAAGGTCTTCCTTTTGCCGTTGGTTCACCCTCCAATGGCCGCCGCGGCTGGTGCGCTGCGGCCGGTGCGCTGCGCTGATCCGAAGCCAGGAGCCAGGTGCTTATCCTGGTCTCCCATGTGGGTGCAGGGCCCAAGGACTTGGGCCATCCTCCACTGCACTCCCGGGCCACAGCAGAGAGCTGGCCTGGAAGAGGGGCAACCGGGACAGAATCCGGCGCCCCGACCAGGACTAGAACCCAGTGTGCCGGCGCCGCTAGGCGGAGGATTAGCCTATTGAGCCGCGGCGCTGGCCCTTTGTTATTTTTAAAACAAAGTGTGGGTAAGAGCGGAAGGTAATATCGATAGGGTACAATGTGTCCCTGTCATTGACACATCATGTTATGTTTCAAATCCATAGGTGATTCCCGACCCTGGATGCCTCCTAAAAGTGCCTGGGATCTTTTAAAACTAGTATTTCCTTGTTTTAACCAAAGATTCTGATTTAGTTGACCTGGAATAGACCTGGGCAAGTCCAGCTTTCAGGGGTCTGATGCATATGACCACGTGGAATGTTACTGCTAGCGGCATCAATGCTCATTTGACCAGGTCTACCCCATCTATGCAATGTTTGATGCTTTGCCTTCTTCCTCTTGTTTTAAATAAGATATTTTCAGTTGCAAGTGACTCAGGAAATCTGTTTTGCCATTTTAGATGATGACCAAAGCAAATTGGAAGGTTCTGGTTCTGGTTTAGACAGCTACCTGCCTGAACTTGCCAAGGTAATGTCATCCCAGATCTTCTGCTCTTCACTGACAGCTGTTGAAATATTTCTCATTTCTGAAGTTTTCCCAGAATGGAATCTGTCAAAATCATTACACTTGTGTTGTGATTGCCTGTACTTTGTGCCGTGAATGTGAGGTGACATGAACTGCCATACAGTCCTGACACTTCAGTCTGGTTTCCAGAAAGCACTTTGCAAATTGTTGTTTAAGTGCTTTTCCCCTCATGGTGTTTAATACTGCATCAGAACCCAGATGCACAGGTGAGTGTCCTCATGATGCCATGTCCCGCTGTGTTCACACGTGTGCTCACTTATTCAAGATAAGACACAGTTCTCGTGACCATGGGAATGGTAATCTTGCTGCTACACCAAAGGGGAGTTGTTTGAGTTTTAAAATTATTCCTGAATCACTTGCAGTTTAACAGACAAAAAACAAGGCTATGCCTGAGTTTTATAATTTTTTAGAAATGTTAAAGTTACTGAAAAGTGTAAAGAAAAATAAAGCAACTATAATGCCACCACCAAGATTCACATCTGCTACTGTGATGTCATTTTAGCTTCTCTATTAAAACAACAAACATCATTTATATTTGAAATTCTTTTTAAACACTGTCCTGCCTTCCATTTTGTACTTCCTCACATTCCCAACCAGAGAGAACACTAATATGACTTTTACTTCTGTTTCATTTTGTATCTGTGAAAATATATCTATCCTGATGACATATATGGGGTTGTTTTGTAAAAATGTTATGTGGGGTGGATGTCGTGGTGCAGTGGGTTAAGCTGCTGCCTGGAAGGCTTGCATCCCATATCAGTGTGTTCGATCACATTTCTGGTACTCTCCTTTGGATCTAGCTCCCTGCTCATTTACCTGGGAGACAGTGAATGATGGCTCAAGTACTTGAGTTCCTGCTGCCTGCATGGGAGACCAGGATGGAATTCCTAGCTGCTGGCCTGGTCTGGCCCACCCATGGCTGTTGTGGCCATTTGCAGAGCGAACCAGTGAATGAAGGATCTCTATGTCTGTTTCCCCTTTCAAATTAATAAGTAAATCTTTGTTTAAAATGTTATGTGAATGCTTACATACTATATATTATTTTGTACTTTTGTTTGTTAATTCAGCCTTGTTTTTGAGATCCATCCAAGTTGGTGTGTGGATCTGGTTCATGACTTGTATTGTACAGTGTAAACATTTTATTTTAGCTGTTCTTTTATTTCAGATTTTTGTTATAAACAATGCTGCCATGAATATCCTTGTACTTGTCTTTTCTGCATCTATGAATGATTCTTTTTAAATTAGAGAAATGCCTTTGTCTTCTCTAGCCCTTTTATTCTTACTCTGTTACTGCCTTTCTGTTCTTTTTCTTTTTTTTGACAGAACAGTGAAATAGTGAGCCTACACACCCATATCTTAAACACTATAATAGAAACATGGTTTATCTATATAGGATTATAAATAGACCAGCATTCAGCATTGACTTTTATTTCAAGACAGCATGGCTGTTCTCAGTATAGAATCTCCCTGTCCAGCGAGGCCTTTAGCGCATTGTTTTCCCGCAGGCCTTGACTGTTACCACAGTGTCTTTTTAGCACCTGCCTATTAAAGCTAACTTGAGTGCCACGCTGCAACCTCATCCTAGTCTGGGAAGTTTTAGCCTGTGTCTCTGTGCTGCGAACTTCTGTGCATACAGTTTGCATTGAGGTTTGCTTTTATGCCTCTGGACGACTGCAGGTTCAGAATTTCTTAAAGCAAAATGCTTGTGCCTATTTGTGTTTCAGTTTGTTGAAACAGATAATTTATTTGATGCAATCTGGAATTCAGAAAATAACTTTATATACTTCCTAGGTGAATAGAATGGCTGCCTATAAAAAGATTCATTATTTGAGCTTCTTGTTGATTAGTTAGAAATCTGTTCTTTTTGCTATGTCCCCTCCTTTCTTCTCTAACTCCTGGCTAATATAATACCTTATTGCGAGGGAAGTTTATACACACACGCACACATGTGCATATAAACACATATGTATACATATATAATTAATCTATTAACATATTTAGCGCTATTTGCACATTGTGGAATATAACCAAATTAACTGAAGCCATTTTAGTTGATGATTTCAATTTAATTGGCTTCACCTCTCATTTCTTTCAGTTTTGATTTTTAATTTTTTAAAGTGAGGTGCAATTTATGTAGAACAAAATGCTCAAGCATTAATTGTATAGCTTGATGGAATTAACATTTGTTTGCTGACGAAACTGCCACCTGGGTCGACATGTAGGACATGTGTAGCATTGCAACAGAGTGCCTTCCACCCCTCTCTCAGCTGCTCTACCCCTACTATTTTGACTTCCACGACCATAGATTGGTTTTGACTGCTCTAGACCTTCATATAAATGCAGTCATACAGTTTGTACCCTTTGTGTCAGGTTCCTTTAGCTTAGTATTATGTGACCCATGATACAAAAAAGAGTAAATGCAATAGCATTGAGTAGAGGATATAAAATTCTCTGCCTCAGTACTGATATTAATACATAAAGTTACTTTTTGAATTTCGGATTATGCATACTTGTACACGTGTGTGTGTGTGTTTGAGAGAAAGAGAGGGAGAGAACAAACAAATTCTTTGTGCAAGTCTTGGTCAAAGCCTGAGAAATACAGCAGTATACCAGACTTTACTGTGTTTTCCCACTAGCCTTCAGATGCGTTAAGAGTATTTTTATTTGAGAAGGGAGAAAAAGACAACATAATCTTTTGAAGGGAAGAAGAGTGAAGAAAATGAAGGTTTACAGTCACTCATCAGGAGTATCATGAGCAGGTGTCTGTCAGCTTTGTTTTTTTAATAACTAATTAATCATATTTATTTGAAAGGCAGAGAGAGAGAGATCTCCCATTTGCTAGTTTACTCCCCAAATACCTACAAGAACCAGGGGTGGACTAGGCTGAAGCCAGAAGCCAAGAACCGCATTCCAGGTCTCCCACGTGGGTGGCAGGGACCCGCGTACCTGAGCCATCACTGCTGCCTCCAGGTGCGCACATTAGACTCTGGAATTGGAAGCAGAACCAAACTCAACCAAGCACTCCAGTGTGGGATGTGCATGTCCTAAGTGGTGTTTAAGTGCTACGCTAAATGCCTGTCCCTTGGCTTTGCCTTAAAAAAAAAAGTTTTTTAAAATTTATTTGAAAGGCAGAGAGACAGAGATATGCCATCCACTGGTTTATTTCTCAAATGCCTTCAGTAGCCAGGGCTGGGCCAGGCTAAAGCCAGGAGCTAAGAACTCTATTTGGTTCTCCCATATTGTTGTCAGGGACTGAAATACTTGGACCATCATCTGTTGCCTAACTAGGGTGCATACTAGCAGGAAACTGGATTGGAAACGTAGGCAGAACTCAAATCCATACATTCGCTGTGGGATGCAGGCATCAGAAGCGGAGGTTAACCTGCTATGTCAAACACCAGCCCCTGGCTTTGCCTTTTACTGGTCTTCTCAGCAGTGTCTACCAGGAGGGTTCCCAGGTACCACCTGGGGAACTGCGACTGGCTCTTGATCCTGTCACAATCCAGTGCCCTGAGCAACAGTGTGGTTTTAGTTGTTTATCATCCTCCAGTGTATCTGGCATGAGGATTATTTGTACCTGTTGAGGAAGCAGAGAAGTTGAGTGTAACTAGTCATCTTGTTTATAGGAGAAATGAATTCCATGGCAACAGAGTCAGAGATCGAAGTCTGTGAAGGGCAGGAGAGTGTAGCTGGTGGGGTGAAGAGATAAAGCCATGGGTACTGGAGAAGGAAGGTGCGAGAGAGAGGCTCAGGCCAGAGGGTGGGCCTCAGGGAAGATTGCAGAGGGAGGCCTAGAATGGTGGCTGAAGGCAGAAAGCAGTGGAAGGTGTCATTTAGTGGCCGGCTCCCTGGTCAGCTCCTCTTTGTGCCTCACTCATCCTGTTGTCCTGGCTTTTGTTTTCCATTGAGACAGCCAAACAGGATATGATTGACAGGAAGTTGTTTTCGTGCAAAAATAGCAGATGTTTCATTCTGGATTTTTATGGTGGGGCGCTTATGGTGTGCGTGAGACGAGCTCAGGTTTTCAGGATACTTTATATGGTCTTGGAGCTTAGGTTTATACATTACTGCATATCTTTATTTTCATATTAGGGGACACACTGTGTCTACTTCTAAAACCTGTTCTTTTCCTCCTGTTCTCTAATGCAAAACCAAACAGTTTTTGCTGTAAATATAACAGCACACATAGCATCAGTCTTAAAAGCATTTTTGCTAAGTATACAAATTATAGTTAAAGTTAGCTCATTGATTCCTTCCCTAGAAAGTCAAGAGGTAAAATGATCAGGTTGTAAAAACTATTACTACTTATTTAATGATCTCTTTCTCTACCTTTATCTTAGGTGACATTGGAATCTATTTATCAGCTCCTTATAAAAAGAGAGTGTGAAGAAAACACTTGTGCTTCCACACTGTGTTTTCCTCTACAACTTTTCTGTTTTTGAGGAGTTTTGCTTCTCAAGGAATAGAGCCCAGTCTTAATTTCGTCTCCCCCATGTGGTTCTGAAAGAGAAGCAGTTTCTTGTCAATCCAAAGTTGTTCATATTCTAATCTTACAGCTTTTTAAGTGAATGTGCATATGTTCCTTCAGAGTTGAACACAGGACAAAATATGATATCTCAAGCTTTGTAGCCTCATTGGGATTGAATAAGGGTCAAGTAAAATTTGTCAGAACTCAAATGTTTGCAGATAACTTTTCTGATTTTTAAAACCAAGTCTATAGTAAGTATTTCCATCCCTATATCCCAGAAAATGCTGTGTCTTTGCATTAGGATACAGAGTAGTTGGTTATGGCTGCATTTGCTGAGGTCAGCTGGTGGCCTCTGTATGCTATATTGTCTTATTGTATTTTTGTGACACAAAGGATGAATTATGATCCTGGATAGTTAGATGTCATGGACTTAGTAGGAATAAATCACATTAGTGTTTTTTGGGTTATTTTATTT